CCCACATCCCAGGCTCCTCCCATACCACGCCCCCACCCACATCCCAGGCTCCTCCTGTGCCCGTGCCACCGGCCCCGCCCACGCCCCCACCCCACGCCACAGGCCACGCCCACTCCACAGACCACGCCCCGGTCTAGCTCCCCAGCCCTCTGCCTCCTTCCTTCATTGAGAAGCCAGGGTCCCAGCCCTCAGCCCCCAGCTCCAGGTAGGACTCACCGATGGGCAGGCCCAGGATGTGCTCAGGTGATGGCAGGGCAAAGCGGAACCGCCGAGTGTCATGGCTGATGACCTGCAACAAGGCCACCCAGGTATTAGGCAGAGGAGACCCTGGCCTCATGCCCCCCCCCAGCACCCCTACTGTCTTCAGTGCTGCGCTGACACCACATGTAGACACACATCATGCACACGGCATGAGGACACAGGGGACAGGCTTCGAGCCAGACACCTCTGCTCCCGCTGGCCTTGAACACAGCAGTGACCCACTCAGGCCACAGACAGGTGGTCAGGCAAGGAATGAATTCAGGGGGGAACTGCCAAATGGCCTAGAAAATTCCAGGAGAAGGGAGGAATTTATCCAGGGGAATCTACTTTGCCATCAGCTTGGGAGTGACCCAGGGCAGCAGAAAGGACTTGGGCCAATAGGGAGTGGACTGAGCCATGCCTCAACACTGCAGTCCTGGTCTCAGGTGAATCCCCCTGCTCTGACACACCCTGGACAGAGTGGCTGGGCATACCAGCCCCCATGGGGGCAAATCTAAGCCAGGCCCACCTGTTACAGGGTAGGTACCTGTCACAGGGTAGGTACCCGTCACAGGGTAGGTACCTGGCACAGGCTTGGCACCTGGCACAGGGTAGGCACCTAGGTACGATCCATGGTGGGCAGGGGACAGTCACTTCCACTCCAGGCCTTTTAAGAGCCAGGCTGGGCAGAGGACCCATGTATAAAGTCACACTGTGAACGACTCCAGTCTACACAGCTGGTTCCTATCAGAGCAGAATTGAACCCTGGTGCCTGGTAGCCTGTCCAGAGCTCCCAGAGACCCTCGGGGTCTCTCTGCAGGCAGGCTGGGTGGGCAGCAGGCTGCTGGGATGCACATGGTCACCCACATTCATGGCAGAGCCCACAGGTAAGCAGAGGTGGTACGATTTGGAATAGGGACAAGGGGACAATGTGTCATGGGAGCACTTTCAGCTATCCGAGAAAGAACCTTCTGTCTGTCCCAAGTGTCCCAGGACCGAGTGGCTGGCTGGGGGAGTGAGGAGCTCCCATCCTGAGTGTGCAGGTAGAGGACGTGGGCCAGCCTCACTCAGGAAGATCAGCTCCTGGGTCCCCCCTCAGGACACACAGGCACAAAGACTGGGCAGTGGCTGGGGACCACCAGGCCCCAAAGCCTAAAAGCTGCCACTGCCAGGAAGCCCCTCCTCTCTGGCAAATGGAGCCCCAAGGCCTGCTGGGAGCGGATTCCAGCATTCCTAACTAGCCCTGAGGTGCAAGGTCAGAAAACTACAGGCCAGGCATTTCTGGGAAGAAGAGCTGAAGGGAGAGAAAGAGGTCACTGAGGAGCTGGACAGCCGCCAGTCCGGTCCATGTGGCCCTGCGTCCAGGGCAAAACCCTGCCCGTCCTGTGCTACGTCCACAAGTGCTGCTGGGCCTGAGCCCACTGCAGACACGGTGTCAATCCATTTCGCTGAGAGTCTCCTTTTCTGCTGCCCGGGCACTGGTCAGGGCACAGCAAGTCTCTCAGAAGCAGGCTGGCTTTGCAAGACCACTACTGCATCATGAAAGAGTGGGGCAGATGTCACTGCTGGGGCACTGGCTAGGGAAACGCTGGGACGGCACACCACCCTCTCTCATCCTGTCCAGTGGGAAACGACGCAGAGATGGGCCTCCAGAGGTTCCGAGGCTCTACGGTGAACAGAGTTCTCCCTCCCGCCGCCGTCACTGACGGAGCTGTGGATGGACAGGCCCGCCTCTGGGTCAGGAGCGCCCTCCCTGTGGACAGCGCCACCACAGCTCCAAGGCCGCAGTCATGAAGAATGGGGTTAGAGTAAATGCTTCCACCTCGTTGGACTGGGGGGTTAAAAACCCAGCAAAAGTGGTGATTTAAAAACCCTCAACCCCTAAACATCTAATAATTAGACGCGTGCACCTCTTGTGATTAGAATGGTGGCATTCAGCTACCAACTCAAGGGTGACGGTTCAAAACACCCCAGGGCTACGAGAAAGAAGGACCTGGAGCTGCATTTCCATCAAGATCACAGCCCAGGAGGCCCCAGAGAGCAGTTCTACCTTGTCACTGGAGGGCACCCCATCACTGGGGTCACCCCATCCGTCACTAGTAGCTACCCCATCACCAGCAGTCACCCCATCACACACGGTCACCCCATCACCTGGGGTTACCCCATCACCCGCAGTCACCCAGTCACCAGGGTCACCCCATCCATCACTAGTGGTTACCCCATCACCAGCGGTCACCTCGTCACCAGCAGTCACCCCATCACCTGCAGTCACCCCGTCACCCACGGTCACCCCATTACCCATGGTCACCCTGTCACCAGGGGTCACCCTATCACCAGTGGTAACCCCATCACCAGGGGTCACCCTATCACCAGGGGTCACCCTATCACCAGGGTCACCCCATCATCCAGGGTCACCCCGTCACCAGTCACCCCATCACCAGGGGACACCCTGTCACCCAGTCACTCCTTGACCAGTGGTCACCCTGTCACCATGGTCACCTCATGACTAGCAGTCACCCCATCACCTGTAGTCACCCCATCACTAGGGGTCACCCCGTCACCAGTCACCCCATCACCAGGGACACCCTGTCACCCACGGTCACTCCTTGACCAGCAGTCACCCCATCACCTGTAGTCACCCCATCACTTGTGGTCACCCCATCACCAGGGGTCTCCATGAGTTGGAACTGAGCCTTTCCAACCCAACAGTCACTGCCTGGGAGAAAGACTTACAGCCTCGCAAACCTGACGG